TCTGTAAGCCAGGCAAACACAGGCTTCCATATCTGCCCAACCAGATGGTATTGATCAAATCAGCTGATGTTCGTGATTACTACTATTATTTCCCATAATTGCCCTTCTGAGATCTGCTCATTTGCATCATGCTAGCCACTTGTAATTAGCCAATGAATGATTTGGAGCTGAGCTAGTTTTAAAAGAATTGAGGCCTGTGTGATGCAATGTCTATGTAGCAATCCCCTCTCACAATGCCGAATTCCTTCAGAAATTATATAGCCCAGACTTCTTCCAGGGATGTCATTTTATTAAGATCAGATGAAAGCTGTTCATTTTTGGTGTGGCCTTCAGTCATCTCAGACAACTCTGCAAATAAGCAGGAGGCCGGTGAGTGGAGAGGGAAGGGAAGCAAAACAGGGGCTAGTTCTCCAAAGTCCTACACTTTTAGTAATAGGCTCATTGCCAAGGGGAAGCCTTGAGAATGCCAGCCTTCATTGTGGGGAAGGAGAAGTAAAGGGTTCTGAAAATGGACCCTCTCTCTGCCTTCCATTGCCCTGTCAAGACACATAAAAGAGTTCTAACTAATCAAAAAGCTCAAGGAAGCTGGCTAGTTCACTGGGACAGGCCTAACCTTGAGTTCAGAGTGCTTTTTAATGCATCCCACCTGCTTCTCCAAAGAACATAATTCCTAGCATATAGCAATGCAGCCTTGTCCCAAAGGCTAGCCAAAATGGTAGATCCTGGCAGGTCAGGTCAACACTGAGATCACTGTCACCCTTCCTTCCATATAATCTGGTCTTCCCTCACCTGTCCAAGTTTCACCCCATGGGGTGGAATCTTTGCACCCCATTGGGGGCAGGCATTTCATTGTCTCATATTCTTCTCCATCCTCCCCTCCAGATCACCCCAGCACATGTGCTGTGGGGCTCTGATAAGCCAATAGTTCTGCCACCACCCATGCAGCTGTCTGGCCTGCTGTGCTTGCCTCTCTACCCTTTCTTCAAATCTTCGAGGTCCAAGTCATGCTCCAGGATGGTTTAGGGGGTCTCAGGCAGGTCCATGACGTGAATCTTCCCCAGTGGTCCTGGCAGCACCAATCTTTCTCCTCCCTGCACATCCCTCCCATGTCCTGTCACACTAGGGATAGAAAATGGTGTGATCCTGGGGATTAATATCACCTGCAGGCATGCCTAGAGTTACAATGAGAAGATTCTAAGGTTAACTCTGAGCTTCGCAGTACCTTGGACTTGAACTCAAGGCCTGGGTGCTGTCCCTGATCTTTTGCTCAAGGCTAGTGCTCCACAACTTGAACCACAGCATCACTCCTGTTTCCTCAGTAGTTTATTAAAGATAAGAGTCTCCTGGACTTTCTTGCCTGGGTGGGCTTCGAACCATGATCCTCAGATTTTAGCCCCCTGAGTAGCTAGGATTATAGATGTGAGCCACCAGTGCCCAGCTACCACCTAAGCCTTTTAACAACAACAATGAGATCAATATGATGCAATGTGTGTCTAGCATTTGCCAAGCCTGATCACAAGAAATGTCATAGAGCCCTTCAACCTGGCCTTCTTTCTTGGATTTGGTTTGACAGATCTCATAAAACAATGATTTAACAAATACCCTCCCTCTTCCAAGGAGTGATGCATTTCCTGTTTCTCTCATAAATTATGTATGAATGTATACATATGTATATATGTACTATAGAAGCCAGATGACTAATTAATTTGCAATCAGACTCCCCTTCCCCAAAACTACATCCCTTAGGTCTACCTCTTCCAGATCCTTTCTTCTGAATAACGGACAGGTACAAAGCTAAAGTAGGGTCCAGGGTCTATTAAAGGTACTATGAGCTTCTAATGAGAACCTTCCACTGCTTTCTTTTCAGTCATTTCAAAGGGCCCTGTAGTAGAGGGCCAGTGGTGGTTCACGCCTATAATTCTAGCTACTCAGGAGGCTGAGAGCTGAGGATTGATGTTCAAAGTCAACCTGGGCAAAAACATCTATGAGACCCTAACCACCAACAATCCAGAAGTGGGGCTATGGTACAGTGCTAGTCTTAAGTGATAAAGCTAAAGGACAGTGCCTAGGCTCTGAGTTCAAACCCCATTACCGACATAAAAAAAGGGGAAGGAGGGCTGGGAAGGTGGCTCAGTGGTAGAGCGCTTGCCTTGCATGCCTGAGGCCCTGGGTTCCATTCCTCAGTACCACATAAACAAAAAGAAAAAAGCGGGAAGTGGCGCTGTGGCTCAAGTGGTAGAAGGCTAGCCTTGAGCTGAAGAGCTGAGGGAGCACTCAGGCCCAGAGTTCAGGCCCCACAACCGGACCCCCCCCCAAAAAAAACCCAGAAAAGCCTGGGGAGTGGTGCTATGGCTAAAGTTGGTAGAGCTCTAGCCTTGAGCTAAAGGAGCTCAGGGACAGTGCCCAGGCCCTGAGTGCAAGCCTGAGGATTGGCAAAAAAGAGAGAGACAGAGAGAGACAGAGACCCAGGGACAGACAGACAGACAGATACACACACACACACACACACACACTCACACACACACACACACACACCACACAGAGTTCAGGCCCCATGACCGGACCAAAAAAAAAAGGGGGAAGGAGCTGCTTAGGAACTGCTGTGGCCCTGCCATCTGCCTTAATGACATCCCTAGGCCTCTCCGTGCCTGGATTTGTCTGCTGTGCACCTGAATTAAGGGGTTATTGTATAAAGTAGCACATGGTAAGTGCTTATTCAGTACTAACTCTTGTGAGTGTTTCTGGTTTTTCTCTATCCTCTTAGGAATATCATTTTATCAAATTATAACAGCCCCAATGAAGTAATGAAACCTGTATTGATATTTTAGGCTTTGGAGATGACACTATATCCTAGATCATGAAAGCCTCTCACCTGGCAGAGTGGAGAAATATACACACCATACCTAGCTCCATTCCAAGTCTAACATTTCAACATCTATTTGCCTTCTTTCCTCCTGCCTCATAACTTTGATCAGACCACTTGTACCGGATGGCTGTATGTTTTCAAATACAGATGAAATCCGCTGTCTTCCACGACGTTTTTACACACTCATTTTATTGTACGTCTTATGCAAGTTAACCCTCCCACCCCCCACTACTCATTCCCCAACCCATGCCAGGAACCTAAGGCTGACTACTCACCCCAGGTGCCCCTCGCCCCTCGCCCCCCCTTCCCCCGCCCCTCCCCCCCCCTCCATCGGGGTGCCAGGCAAGGCGTGACTGACAGCCCTCATCCTGGGAGGGCGGGCCGCCCGGGCCTGCTGGGGGCGTGGCTTCTGCGAGGCTTATCACGTCCCGGGGCCTGGTTTTCCTCTCCTGTCTCTTGGGACACTCTGCCGTGGGAAAGGAGAAGCCTTTGTTTTGATGAGCTGCTTTTTTGTTGCTCTTGTTCCTGAAAGACCAGCACGTAAACGGTTTTACTACTGGCATCTGGCTTTGGTTGTTCCCCTTTTAGTAATAAAGGTAGCCACGCCCACCTTCCTTCCAATTGGACAAAGACGTGACTTTATTTCATTTTTTGTGTTTTTAAGTGTACAGCTCCCTGAACGCAGCACGTTTCCCGGTGGAAATGGTACATGGGGTCTGTCTGGGGCTGCCGCGGGAGGGGGCAGCACTGTGGCAGGTGATTCCTAGGCAGACTCTCTCTTCTTCCAGGTGCCCACCCCAGTTGCTGGACAAACAGAGCCCGCGAAGGAGGAAGCCTATGACGAGGGATCAAAGACTCCTTTCCTTAAAATTCCCAGTTTTCCTTCTTCCCCTCGCCCCCCCTCCTTTCAGGCAAAATACCCCCCTCCCCAAACCCAGACCTCTAAGCACCAGTCTGAAAACACGTGGAAGGAAGATGGAGGTGGGGGAAAGGAAGAAGAGAGGTTAAGACAGGGCCGTATGGCGTTTATCACTCTTGAAGGGGAAAAAATAATGTCTTCCGGGGAGAGAGCACCCCCCACTCTCTCCTGGTAGGACGTTCCAGAGTGGCCAAAATTGCCCAGGGATTGTGGACAGAGGTCACATAGACAAGGATTCCATAGGATGCTTGGTGTTGTTTACAGCCGCTGGCCTCTGGATGCCAAAGGGCTGAAGAGGCAGGAAGGATTCCTCGCAGCTGCTTCTCAGGTGAGGCTGAGGCTTCGACTCGCATCAGCCTCTCTTTCCTGCTGAAAAACCAAGCTGAAGCAACAATGACTTGCCCAGGGCCACACACCAAGCTTGAGACCGAAATAACCCTGACTCCTCCTCCTTCGGGGCTCTAACAGCAAGGTGCCTTATTATGGCACTATCATTCCAATCTGAATCATTGCAGATGCTTCTAATTGCAAGCCTGGGGTGAAGTGTAACCACCGTGTGACTCTAACTGCAAGCAAACCTAGGTACGAATGACTGGAGTTTTATAAATGCCTGAACATGGCATTCTCCCCATAGTCTCCCCATATCTCTTACCCATATCTCCTCAATTTTCCTAGTTCCAATTTCACATATGTACATCAAATATTATGACTTCATTCACCCACTCTTCCTCTCTTCACTCCTGTACTTCCCGTGCCCTTCCCCTCCCCCACAACATATGTTCCAGCTTCTTGTTATTCACTTTGTTAGACTGTAAGTTAGTCAAAGGAGATCCACCACTGGAATTCCCCCCTGCATATACCATACTTTAGTTAATGTGTGTGTATGTATGTGTGTTTAAAGAAATTAATGTGAAATATTGCCTTCAATTTGTCAGGTTATTGGGATTCAAATGGATGCCATTCCAAATGGCATGTGGGGGCTAAATTCTAGGTATTGCTAAGCAAGTCAGTCCTTAGATGCTTTCTGTTTAGGTAGCCCACAGAACTACAGGTCAGTGTTTAAACTCATTTATCTCCCATGTTGGGAAGGGCTTGGGATATTATTAGTCATGTAAGTTAAGATCTGCACACAGGGCTAGACACGTGCTATGCTCAGGAAAGAAAGTAAATTCCATCTGGCAAATTGTTCTAACTGATTCATTTGTCCTCCAAGAGACGCCACCTACCTGCTGGAAGGTATTCAGGTAAGTGACAGGTGGGTGGGGCGTACTGAGTGTTTCCATCGCTAAGGTCTCAGCAATGTTTTACCTGTGCAGACTTCCGTGATGTCACACATTTCCTGCTCCAGATCAACCAATACCCTCCTCCTTCCTCCAGGCACCTGTACACGAAGTGGAGGCTGATCACACAGCTCAGCAGCCTAAGAAGCTGCTAGCTTCAGCCACAAGTCATGAGAGCTGCCAGGTCCCTGCTACTTTTGAGAGCCCAGATACAGACTTGAAAAGGTAAGCTGGAATGTCCATTTTCTCCCTTGGCTATTAGACCTTAAAGGATCGGAAGGGTAAATCTGAATGACAAAACTACAGGCTGAATGGCTTAGCCCCTGGAGAGACTTTTGAAAGTTTAGATTCTGATATTCTTGCTGTACAGAACAGATCTCCCAGTTAGACATTTAATCTTTTTAGTTTCGTCTAATCATTAATCCAGCCTCTGATTGTCTGGGAAGTTGATCTGATTTTTTTTTTAACCCTAGACAGAAGGGGAGTGGAGGCATTTTTTTGAAACTTAGTTCAAAGGTACAGACTTGTTCGGCCCGTTTTATGGGGGTTGGGATGGCTGAGAAAATTCTGAGACATCTTACTTTGCTTTACTTTTTGGGTTCACCTCATCAGAGGCTATTTTGATCCATACCTACAAGTTGTAACTGGATTTTTTGTTTGTTTACCCCACAAAGATCCTCAGATTGGTAAATTCTGTTCCATAAGCAGTAGCCCTCTGCCTCCAGGAACCTTCCCTAGTCTTCTTTAAAAAAAGAAAAGAAAAGAAAAGCCTCCAGTTCCCTTTATTCTTTGTCCAATGCTCTTCACAAACCTTCTACAGTCTTGTTAGAATTGTTTACCTTCAGACCCTACTGGCTGCTTTCTGACCTTTGCTTCAAGTAAAGATCGTCCTTTCAAGGCCACAAGAATGTAACTTCGGCTCGGAGTTTTAATTTCCTGAAACTCTTTTGCTTTTTCTGTCTCATTTCTTTTAATAAGCAAATACACAGAGGAGCATGCTCTGCCAGGACCTGGCTTTTAAGTAACTTTATCTCTAGGGTCCATTTGTGTTTTCTTGAGCGGGATCTCAAGTCTTTATGACTTCTGTTTCTACTATCCTCAAGGACGCTATTGTTTGCAAAACTAAAGAAACCCTCCCTAGATTAAGCTCCTTGTAAGGATGAGCTAGGAAATTTGGGGAGAGAAATAAACCCCTTCATCAGCTATTTTTCTGACAGGTAAATTAGCAGATAGATTTGCAAGACATTAATCTGTTAAGAATTATGCCCCTACTTATCCACCCAGAAGTGAAGATTATACATGTAAACTATCCAAGAGTATGAATTGAAACAAACTGAGAAATTGTTTGCTTTGGAAAAAAAAAGTTGCTTCTTACCACTAAGACTCTGCCCTGCCAATTTCTCTCTTACTCCTGGAAAGCTCATATTGCTCTCCTTCAACTGACCTTTGTGCCTATAATTTCTCCTTGAGCTTATGTTTGGAAGATGACTGCTTAATAATGTTCTGACATGATCCAGTGCTTTGTCAGCATAGAGAAATGAAAAATAAAAATTTCCATGTCCAGAATCCACTGGATAAAAATGTGTCTTTAGAGTCCTAAGCCTCTTAGAAGATTCATTCCCTCTGGTTCATTTTATAGTTGATTGGTTTATGATTAAGCAGTTCATTTTATCAGTCAATGTATGTCTGCCTCTCTGGTTAGTAATAGAGAAAAGCCCTGATGAAAGAGATAAAAGAAATTGACAGAGGCAATCTCTAGAATGTAGTTGGTTAGTTAGATTGCTGTCTGAAGTTCGGGTGCTAATTCTATCCTTGGGTTGAAGTGAACTTGAGGCCTAGTAAGAAATCAAGCACTGTCTTCAACTTACATCATGAATTTCTGTGATCCTCAGTCTCTTCCTTGGTAGATCAAGGAATCAGAATCCCTATGACGTAATGTGGCCATGAGAAGTAAAGGAACTACCATGTCAAGCTTAGAGGACTTGATGCCTGCTGCTGACCCAGGGCCACACCCATTCTTGCTGGAGGAACTTTTTCTGCTTAGAGGACAGGGCTCTGAAGCTCTCAAGATAAAAGGTCTGTGGTTGCAATGGTTAGGAACCCTGCTCTTCTTGTTATTGTAATTAATTGTAAGTAATTAACTCTCAGGGTTAACAGTTTAGAAAAGTATAGCAGGTTAGAGGGAGAAGAATGTTCCAACAGTGTTATTAACTTCACCTAACAAAGTCAGGCACTGTGTCTCCAACAGACTCTTGACAAAGCTTTTAAGATGCTGGTTATTCCCAACCTCAAGGCTCACAAAATGTGGGTTTCCTGCAGACATTTGTGTGTGTGTGGGTGCTCCATTTTCATTTGCTAGAATCTGACATGTGCTTTCAATCGTGCTGTCTCTAAAACTAGCTGGGAAATCTACTCTTGCAAATAAATAAATGCCCTTCACAGTGGTCTAGGGCACAGATGGCCAGATTACTGCAACAAGAAGGGACAGCTGGCTTAGAACCTGCACCATCCTGAGGAAGGGAAGTTTGAGGTCCACCTGGACATATTTTCCCTTCAGGAGACACTGCCCTGTGTCCTTCAATGACCTAGAGTCATTGCCTCAGAGCAGGTGCATTCCTAGGCCTCCAGATCTCATCCTATCCCAAATGGATAACACAAGTTTCCATCATTCAAGAGGAAGAGAAAGTGGATCTGACCTCCAAGATACTGGGAGCCGCAGCTAGGGACTCAGGGGAAGAGCCCCAGGTTCCTTGCCTAGCAGTTTTCTTCATCCTACCTCCATGAAAGTATGTTAAAAGGCTGGGACTTCTCAATCTGTCCTGGCCTTTAAAACAGAAGTTAGAGTGGCTGCCCATCGAGGTGAGGGGTTGGACTCACTGGGAACACTGTATTCACTTAGTTCTCGATAGAGCAAGGCTGCAGCTATACATCTGGCATCAGATCACCTGGGCTCAAAACTCATGTGCTACCTGTGTGTCTTAGGACAAGATCTTGAAACCCGCTTTTCCTAGGCTGTTGTGAAGATGAGTTGAAACATGTAAAGTTGGACCAGTCTCTGGCACAATGTATGCTGTTACTCATGTGTTTTCTTGAGCAGAAGCCATGATGGGAGTTACAAGACAGATCCATGTTCAAGACCCAGTTAGTTCAGCCACATAATCACTAGCCTACATGCTTCCATTTGGCCATCTGGAAAATGGAGTCCTTACCCACCTCAGTGATTTTGTGAGGAATAATTGAAATGGCCCGGTGTGTAATGTCTGGCTTCGATCAAGTGCCCTGAAGTGTTCACTGCTGTCATGTTACTATATTGATCACAGATCTCTTCAGTCTTTATGCAGTCTGGAAATTAGATGGTAGTAAGCTGAGGGCCCAAAACAGAACCAGATTTCCAGAAAAGCTCCTGAAGGCTTAGAAGGAAAGCCTGTTAACAAGTATTATCTTGTTTATCTTGGCATTTCATTCAAGGGTGGGGCAACTGCCCGGTGATGTTGGTGTTTTGCAGAGCAGTGGGCAGGAGGCTTGGTGAATTGAGAAACAGCCAGTTTACAGGAGTCCTGCCTCTGGGCTCATCTCTCAGAGTCTCCTCTTCTCCTTGACCTTTTTATATTTGAATTTCCCACAGGAAGGGAAGAAAATTACATCCACTGGGATTTGGGCCACTTGTAGGCCACCTGTAAGCTGCTACAACAGAATGCATGCCAGGGAGGTTTTCAAATGGGTCCTCCTCCTACCTCACCTTGGCATCCCTGGACTTCCTGGTAGTTTGGAACTATTCTTGGCAGTTATGTACTGGAATTTCCTACACTCACTTTTACGGGGGTGGCAAATTTATTGTCCTCTGACAGGGCCTCCAAACAGTATTAGGCTTTCCGGAACTAGGTGGAGGAAGGCCTGTGTCACTCTGCATTAATGAGATTTAGTCATTGACGGTCTCCAAAGGATGAGGGCCAATAGGAACATTGTAAAACCCACAAGCACAGAAAATTGTAACAGAACTAAATGAAATCAGCAAGAGAAAATGGGGGCTACCTCCTGTAACTTCCCAAGTTTGCCATCTCCTTGTCTCATTCTGTTCTGTGTAACAAAAATAAATCCATGACCTATTGGTTTGTTAATGGAAATACATCAAAGCAATGTGAGGAAGCACTTCTTTATTTTATTTATTTTTTGCTGGTCTCAGGATTTGAACTCAGGGCCTTATACTTGCTCAAGCTTGCTTACTCAGTTGGTGTTCTATCATTTGAGCCATGCCTCCAGCCCAGCTTTTGGAGGTTGAGTATCAAGGACATTTCTGCCCAGGCTGGCTTTAAACTGTGATCTTCCAAATCAAATCTCAGCCTCCCTAGAGCTAGAATTACAGGTGTGAGCCACCAGTAAGTACCTGGCTTGAGGAAACATTTTCTTTGAAGTAGAGTTATCCAAAAATGTAGTCAACTGTCAGGACCATGAACCCCTTGTCACTGTAGGTGCTTTGTTTTGTGATATGTTTAGTACCCAGTGGAAACATCATTTGTCAGATGGATGAATGAATGAATAGCAAAATGTTATTTTTCTTTAGCTGCTCATATAATCCCCTATATGATAGGTCTCAGAGTGTTATTTTAGAGACTGAGTGAGAGAATGTATGTCAAATACCCAATGTAGTATTTTACATGTAACAAGCTTCCCAATGGAAATAATAAAGTTTTGATGGTACTGGATTTACACTCAGGGCCTTATACTAGCTAGGCAAGTGCTCTACCACTTGAGCCATGTCCTCACCCTTGCCTTTTTTGCTTCAGTTTATTTTCAGAAATGGTCTTACACTTTGGTCCAGGGCTAGCCTTGGACCGAGAGATCATCGTACTTCTGCCTCCCTCCCATGTAGGTGAGATTTCAGAATTGCACCAGTGCCCAGCTTTTTTTGTTTGTTTTTTGTCAGTCATGGGCTTGAACTCTGGTACTGTACCTCTGTTCTTCAGTTCAAGGCAAGTGCTGTACCATTTGAGCTACAGTGTCACTTCTGGTTTTCTGGTGGTTAATTGGAGATAAAAGTCTCACAGACTTTCCTGCCCAGACTAGCTTTGGAATGTAATCCTCAGATCTCAGCCTCCTGACTAGCTAGGATTACAGGCACCTAGCTTAACAATGTGACTATGATTTTGTGTGTGTGTGTGTGTGTGTGTGTGTGTGTGTGTGTGTGTAGGTCTGAACTTTCTTCCTCTCTCTAACTCCTAAGTTGG